ACTAAATGCCATTATGCACCCATGTATTTTCTAGTTAGCCATGGAATTGTACCTCTCAGAAGATCCCCTGTGACATCTGGTGTGCAGAGCTGTAAGAGGCCGCTTTACTTATATCACTCTCACTTTGTCTTTGGATTCTTGTTATATAAAAATCAGGTCTTTGTATGAACACCAGTGGGGCCCAAAGAGATGTGAGGTACTTGGAGGATTGGTGCTGCATATTGCTCTCCTTGCTGCCACTCCCAAAGGATTTGCCTCCAGCAGGTGTATGTCAAGTGCAGCCCCCATGCTTAGATGAGCAGTTCAGTTTGAACTGAATAATGTGATCTGGGAGGCAGGGAAAAAGGACCTGGAAGCAAAAGTTTTGGTACTGCTTACCTGCTCCTGTTCAAGTGAGGACTGCCGCATTGTCTGTGTAAGACTGCCTTGAGTCCTGTGAAGAACACAATCCCCGAGTTCCGGTGACGACACTAATTAATAATTTAAATCCTTCATCTTTCTCAGATCCCTTTGATCTTCTATTTTTTAGCCCAAGTAAACGTCAGCATTATGAAATGTCTTTAATCCACTGGCTTCTTCTAAAACAAGGAAACTTTTGGTTAGGATGGAGCATAAAATACGGTGGGAGTCAAAAGGGGAAATTGAGGACCATGTTAGTCCCTTGTGTACCATAGGGCTTTAGCAGGACTGTAAGTTTTACTTTCTTAAACTACAAATGTAAATCCTTTTCAGTAAGATAAATATAAATCATGTTTATGCAGAACTGTCTTTTATGATAATTATTAAAGAAAGTGTTTCCCTCAATGTGGAATTAGTTACTTATTGGTAGAATAGTCAGATGTGACTAAACCTTCAGTGGATTTGCCTCTATCAGGTTTCTTGAAAGGAAAATTCCTGCAGAACCTGGTTTCATTAGGCCAGTATGGTCTGCTTAGGGTTTTAGACATGTCTTTGTGACATTAATATAATTACAGAAAGATCTAATTATTCTCAAGGTTTAATCTTGAAGCGCTGAGCTTTTTGTGTAAATGAATAATGATTGAGAGTTACTTTTTGTCATAAGAATTTGTGTATCACAAATAAGAGCATTATCCCAATACTATCTACTGATTTTTCTTTACAGAAATGTTCCCAAGGTTAGTATTTACTGGAATTAGGAACTCAGCCTCAACTCCAGCCAGTGGTAAAACTCTGCATGAAATAAACAGATCAAAATCAGAGTGGCAGATTTTATGTTATTTGATTTTTTAAAATGTGTTATATTTAGAACATTTATTGCATCTAAATATAACTGAAGAACTTGGGAAAATAGTGTTATTATATTCTTTTGTTCTCTATGTGGCAGCATCAGCGTTATCCCCAGTGAAGCCAATTAAGTCATCAGTTACTTCATATTCATCGTATTATATGTTCTTAATGATGCATTTAAACATTTAATAATTTCTAATCTTCTCTAGTTTCTCATAAATGGTCATTGTTATAAATGTATTTATTTGGTAATGCTGATATGGGCTGATTTGGAAAAGACAGAATGACGCATTATATTAGCATTTTATGTAATATCTGGCTCATTTGTATTTTTTGTAATATTTTTTGTAACTTTTACTCTATTCCACATAAACTAATTTGGATTCTTTTTTCTTTTGCCCACATTGCATATAAAATCAGAATTTTATTATAAGAGATTATGCAACATAAAAATGCTGTATTTTCATAAACTAGAAAACTGTCCATCAGCTGCTGGTTTGCCTAGAGTAAAGGAGCTCTATGTAGTAATTAGAGAGTCTTCAGGACTTCTGTCCTTTCTCTGAAAGTTTCTGGATGGGATTGGTAAAGAGAGAGCAAGTTAATTTAGGAGGTGGATGGCTTGTAAGGTAGAAAATGTGATTTTTTAAATCAATATTGTCTTTAATAGAAACTAATGAGGTAGTTGACAGGATGGACTTAAGATAACTGAAATCCTTGGCCCAGTTAGGTGTATTGTTTTGAGAAGGTGTGAAATTTTTTGCTTTGGAGTGTGAGCAAGAGATGGTTTAATGAATTCTAGATGTTAAAATGGGAAGCAGCATTGCCATTTCACTGTCTGTTATCAGTTTTTCTACTTGTATTTGAAAATAATGAAAATACAGAGCATGCTTTGAAAGTTGTGGAAGACAAATGTGTAGTAATACCTAGGAAGGATTCTGCTAAGCTTATCTGGTCACGACTGAAGACTGTGAAGACAAGTTCTGATAGGTTGCAGAGGTAATTTTTTCCAGGTTTCTCTTTTTCAATGTTGTTTCTAAGGAAATTGCCATATTATTTTGACAGGTCATCACAAGATTCAGGACATAATTTGATGACATAGCTCGCTTGTTCCCATGGCTCACTGCTTCTCAATAAATAAACCTAGTTCTCCTAATATATTTTTTAATGTTTTTGCTTTTTAAATTAGAAGAATGCCTTTACATTTTTGTTTTTTGTTTTTTTTTTATTTTTTAATAGGATTTCTTTCTTTTGGAAAGGCCGTTCTTTAATCTCTTTAAGTACTTTTAATGTAAGAACTAGTAAGAATGAGAGCAAATACAAGACAGTGGCAGGAGAATGAGGAAGGCTATACCCTAAGGTAGCTCTTAGTTCATCTCTTCGGCATCATCTAACTGCATCCCGAGATTGCATCAGTGGGAGAATAGTTAAATGAGGTGAATATACACACCTCTCTTTTTTTTAATAGGTGATACATCATAGCTTCTCACATCTCCACTTCTGTACATTCCTGTTTATAGAAAACAAGCTGGGGGAAAAAAAATAAAACAAGTTTTTAATTACTGGGTAGTAAATAAGGAGGCTGTTTTATTCTGGAAATTATAGATTGATATACTGGAGATAAATAATACTGAAGGGGAGAACAAGATCCCAGAGGAACACTGCTTGAGATTAGTTTGATCATCTTGATAGTATTAAGAGGTGCCATGATGTCTGTCAAGATGATGACAGGTGCCAATGATGAAGTGGCAGTGATAACTAAATAGCACAGACTGCCCACTATGTTTAATTGTGAATTCTTTGAAGAGTTCCATGCTATTGCTGTTTGTATTGCTGTTTGTGTTATTTACTAGTATTAATGATTGAATAGAATGTAGAATTTGGATTAAAAAGAACATACTCTACACAATGCTACTTGCTTTTTGCCTGTTTCTCTGCCAAGAGACTTCACATCCCTGTTTCCTTAGTAGCTCCTTTATCTGCTTTCTTCTGTTGTATCCTGCATTGCTTTCTCTGAATACAGCATCAGTACTGCTCCTGATCTGCAAAATGATCTTGCTTTTCTTGCTGAAATTTCTCCCGCACAGTTACTTTATTGTGAAATAATCAAGTTATCCAGGTATCTGATGTATATGTATGTGATAGGTAGAGTGGTTTATTGACAGAGGGATTGAAAACCATACATGTGTATGAACTGCATTTCTGTCATCATTCTTTCTCCCTCTGCTTTTATTATGGTTTATTATCCTGTCTGTGTATGACACATGAAGTTACTTGGAGCAAGGCTTATCTTCTTCTGATGCCAGAAGTCCTGTTTAAATCTAAACAAAAATATGTGAGTCAGTTATAAGGAGAAATCCAGATAATCCAGTAAATTTAAGCTGATAATTATCTTTCTAACAGTGACTACTGGCCTGAGACTTGAACTGGTGCCAGTCTGAAGTACTATGCATAGTCGGAAGGTGATGAGCAAACAGTCTTTTGATAACCAGCGTTTCTTAAGTTGCTCAGAGTCATTATGCAGTGCTGTGTATAGGGCTAATGAGATTCTGGCAATTATAGAAGAGGAATAATCAGAAAAAACAAGATGGTAGCCATCCTGTCACTGAAGTAATCTAACCATAAAAATTAAAAACCTGAGGGAAAGATGAATTCAAACTTTGTAGGAGGCTATATCATCTTGCTTGGTAAAATGAATGCATCTTCTATGGCCCAGTACATTAGGGAATTGCCTCCAAGGTACAGGAATATGAAGGCTTCAATGATCCCTTGCACTTTGTGACTGTAAAGGCTAAGTTTGCTTTTATAGAGAGAACTTGCAACAACAAGAAGAATACTACTACTAATAATAATAATAATTGGGGAGAAGGGGCAACTCTATTATGCCTTTTTGGTAATCTGCTCACCATTGCTTAGGGATCTGATAAACTTTCAGAGTATGAGTTTGTTCTTGAGAGGGTAACCAATGCCAGTTTTTATCTTTCAGTCATTTTTATGAGATTTAATTTGGATAAACTGAACCAAGTGGAGTTTCTTTTTTTTTTTCTTGTTTTTGTTTTGCAAGACATTGAATATGATTCCATGTGTGGTAACGTTTTGAATGCTCAAGTGAAACCAGCCAAATAGGTTTTAAACTAGAATGACCTGTTAATGAAGTTTTGTCTCTTGGAGCACTAAATATTTTTAATCCTGAAAAAAGAGGTCATTATAATCCAAAACTAGCCTGGGCCATGTAGTCAGGAACGTACCTTAGGAACAGTCCTGAGCTAGTGGGAAATGGCCAGAATGACCTGAAAATAATTTCTGTCTGAAACTTCCATAGCTTTTTGAGGACACTAATTATGGGTGTCATGCAGTGGAAGGAAGCAATCGGTATAAATATGAATATACTGCAAGTGGGGAGATTGATGAAAATCATATGCCTTTTTCTTTGAACAATTCAATAAATAAAGGGCAGATAATTTAAAACCATATTTTACAATGTGATACTAACAAAGCTTTGTTTTAGTACTCTGATAGAAAGGAAACTGACTCACAGAAAACTGAGATCATTTCTTGGATTGCATCTGAGTGTGAAAATATAAAGTTATGGAAGCTATGAAGTGTTTCTTACAGTGCTATAAATGAATCACTGGCATTGACAAGAAGAAATTGAATAAGTACATGATGGGAAGCAACTTCTATTATGAGAAATACTGTTTCTGCTTTAATTTTATTTTCTTATTTCTCCTTCTCCTCCCCTCTTTCCCTTTTAGGGTAAATGGAAAACTGGTGGCATTGAAGGTGATTAGATTACAAGAAGAGGAAGGAACCCCATTTACTGCTATCAGGGAAGGTATGCACTCACATTTAACAATTATACATGGATTGCCTTTTTTGTAATTACACTACACTTCTTATTTCTGTGCCATGCTATAGTGAATAGCTTGAGAATTCAAATTATATACTTATGTTCTCAGTAGGAAGAAACTTTGGTGCTTCAAAAAACAAAGCCTCTGGCGTGGGAGTTCTTGTTAAAGAATGCAGCTCTGCCTCTGCTTTGGATCCTGTTAGATATACTATACGAATGAGTATTTAAGAGCATGTTTAAGGTGGGTGTGAGAAGTCACTCTGGAAGATGAGGGAACTGTGTAAGTCACGCTTCTTGCCTGCAGGCAGCACCTGAGATGAAGGTAGATGTAACTTTTCCTATATCTGCAACATAAAGCGCAGAAAAGCGTTTCTTGATGAAGGCAGTCAGAAAATCAGGGAGCAAACATACAAGCATCTTAGAAGCTGTGTGTAGTCTGGGACTAGCTATTGTTTGTTTTTTCCTTCCCAATGGACTCTAACTTGTGTGGCTTGGGAATGACTTATCTAGCACACTCAGAGATGCCTGTTATGCTTTCTGCTCTGCTCCTTTATCCTTCCTTGTCAGCCTCTTGTGGTCTCTAGTGACAGCTACTTTATCTGAGCCTGCCTGCGTTGAGCTCCTTTGCAGAAATTGCTGGATGTGCCTTCTCTGTGTGGGCCTTCTCTGTTAGAAGGTAGTAAAAATGAGCTTTGGTAGAGAAATAGTGAACAATTTACCATCACACCACTGATACAGGCTCAGCTGAAGTTAGTAGTGAACTAAAGAGATGAAGTTGGTGTGGCTTTTGAAGGACGTTTTAAAACTGAGCTGACTATCTTGGCATAATTCCCATGGTGGGATGAGCAAGGGAGAACATCATCTCTCACATGGTCCACAGCATGGCCCTGTGTGGGAGGTGTGCAGCTTCATGGCCATTGCAGCTGCAGTCCCAGTAGCTGCAGCTCCTTTGTCCCTCACTCATGCCTCTGTTCCTGCAGCCATCTATATTACAGTATCACAGTATGCTAGAGATTGGAAGGGACCTCAAAAGATCATCTAGTCCAATCCCCCTGCCGGAGCAGGAACACCTAGATAAGGTTACACAGGAACGTGTCCAGGCGGGTTTTGAATGTCTCCAGAGAAGGAGATTCCACAACCTCCCTGGGCAGCCTGTTCCAGTGTTCCGTCACCCTCACTGAGAAGAAGTTGCTTCTCAAGTTTAAGTGGAACCTCTTGTGTTCCAGTTTGTACCCATTGCCTCTTGTCCTATCGTTGTTTGCCACTGAGAAGAGCCTGGCTCCATCCTCGTGATACTCCCCCTTTATATATTTATATACACTAATAAGGTCACCCCTCAATCTCCTCTTCTCCAAACTATAGAGACCCATATATGCTGTATGTCTGTCTGTACAATGAGCCTGTTTTAGGTGGATTGGGGAAAAAAAAAGCCATGTTTCATGTGATCGACACCCTGAAGTTAGAAACCTTTAAAGTACTGTGGTTTTCCATCCGAAGGTTGTGCATTTTAAAGTTGCTCTTTCACAAAGGAGGGAAAACCGTGGGTGGCCAATTTATGAAGGAATTTCAGCAGTTCTTCTGTACTGCTTTGTTTGAGTAACAATTATTGAATGACCTGACACATTTATTCATAACGGTATATATTTTATCTGTGAGCTGTCTGTCCCCGCAGCTGTGCTGCGATAACGAGGTGTGCAGAGGGTTACTGGCGCAGCTTTCAATGTTTGCAATGCTGAGTTCAAGGCATAACAGCCTGTGTTTCAAATATGTTTATTGTTCTCCAGGATTTTAGATGATATGGTAATGACTTAATAAGAAAATAGTAGATATGGCTTCATTGTGCCTTTTTAGTGACACTTAAAAGGTTTTTTAATGTGAGCTTGGTCGAGATGAAAGTCTGTAGCATTATAGCTGTCAAACGCAGTATATTGTGTTTTCCTTCATGAATGGTTTCAGTATAAATAAGTATTCATTAGGAACAAACCCAGAGATTTTCCAGTTGATATTTTTAGATTACAAAGGCACACTAGCATGAAAGTATTTTTCACACTGTCATTGGGGAAATTTTCCTTGTAGCTGAGACTACAGGACTGTGGTTGAAGCCTGTTAAAATTCTCGTACTTTAATATTAGTAGAATAAAGCTCTTGTATAGAAAAAGCTCTTAAAGTTATTAATTAATATATGTTTTCCTAAGCATGTGATGTCTGACTGATTTTGGTGGAACTGTGTGCATCCATTGTATTTCTAAGGACTCATCTAGGCTAGGATTAGATCCAAAGAGTATTAGGCTAAATGAGAAGACTTTTTCTTGATTTTTGTAGCCTCTTGGTTAGGTGAGATCAAACTCAGGTTGTAGGTTGTATGTTTGTGGGTTTTGTTTGGTAAAGTAATCCTGTCTCCTAGGTAATGGAACGTAATTCAGATCTGTGGAAGCTATTAGTAGAAATACAGTCTGGTATGCTTTATATCATGTAGAAGACTGACATACATAATGTGTAAGATGGGAAGGGGAAGAATGTGTACCTAGTTAAGCTTTGTCTTTTCTGTTGTTTGTTTTAATTTTGTCAGAAATAAGTATTAGTGTGAGAAAAGTAAGCTACAAATGTAGCTTCAGAAGGTAATCCCAGTGATGATGTGCCAGACCCATATAATCTGACAGTAATGTTACAACTATGGTCCTACTATCAGGACCTGAGGAAGCTGTTGCTTTCCGCATAGTAGCATCTAATCCATCTTGGACATGCTGGGTTCTGTAATGCAGCCATGGCTGATCTCAGCTGCATGGGTGAGGGGAGGAAAAAAAAAAGAAAAAAGAGCTTGTATAATCTCTTGAAGTTATCTGGTAAATTTGATATGGAAAAACAGTAAGAATGGGACACTCTGTTCAGCAGATTTTTGTTGATTGCTGTTGGCTGACTGAGGACTCCAGCACTATAATTTAGACTGGTACAATTAGAACAAGGACAAATACTGCTGAAGATGAGATCAACTTCTAATTTCAGTTATCTGAGGAGTCATGTTGCCTTAATAAAAAAAGTGCATGTATGGTGTCATGATCCAGAGGTCTGTTGGAGGGTGTTCCTTTCCAAAGTCTTTCATAATGGAGAAATCATGCAGGTTTTGACATTGATTTATTCCGTTTTCTAATTTTCCATCAATGCAAGGCAAAGTCATGCAGAAGTCTAGTTATTTGTAAATTAAAACTAAATTTTATTTGTTATTTGTAAATTAAAACTAAAAAAACCCTGTAAGTAAATTGTTTAACATTTCTCATAGCTCCTTGGTTAAAGCAGTGAGAGAAAACAGCATTCATTCACTGTTCTCCTAATAGCAATGCTGTGTGATGTTAATTAGGGGGAAGATACAGGCTGAAATCTTAAGCAGTGGTCATGCTGAGGCAATTTTGTAGCTGTCTCTATACAGAGAAGCATATTGTTACTGTTGTGAAAGCCACAGAATGAAGCTCAAAGGAAAACAAAGCTACAAAGAAAATAGACTAAGACAATTAGAAAATGCAGGATATAAATGTGGAGTATATGACTATGGAAAGAAGCACTAACTTGGTTAAAACAAAAATGGATGGAAAATTAAAAGAAAGAAAAGATATACATATATATATAAATCCCCCAGTAAAGCTGTGTAACAGAAAACCACAGTTAATTTTAATGACCAGGAGAGGTTTAGCTGAAGTAATTACTTATGAAATAATTCTGATTTTGCAGCAGATGTGCATTTGTGTCTTCTACTATTTATCAAAGTTACATAGGTTGAATCAAAGTAGGTAAATGCGGCTTATTTGTCAGTGCTACTGAGCTGTTTATTGAATTTCTTGAACAAAATTTACAAGTAGTTTGTGCTAAATGTTCTTTCAACTTGGTCTGAATCAGTTGTACCAGCTTACTGGTGCTTTCATTTAGTGGTGTGCAGCTTACAGGTTGTTTCACTCTGAATTTAACTCAGTCTGGGATAATCTAATTTACCTTTGAAGAGCCTGATTAAAAAAAAGAAAAAGGGAAAAAAAGAGGAAAAAGCAATTTGATGTGTATTCCTGAGTGGGTTAAATCTATATGATTTTCAGATCCTATATATATATGAGTGGTGCAAGCCACCATATTACTGATGTGTTCTGAAGGTGCCTGTAACTGTGATAGCTGAGATAGTATGGACTCCAAAAGTCATTTACAGAGTATTTTCTCATTTAAACTCTATAGAATAGAGAGTAGCAAAAGATTTGTTTTCTGTCTTAGTGCAGTTGTGGTTTATTCTTTTACTGTAATGCTCATTATCAGAGATGCTTCAGCAGAAGGCTTGAAGTGTTATTAAATCCACTGCAGCCAGCAGAAAAGTTCACTGACCTTAACTTTTATCTCGGATGTTTCATTCCCCTAATGTCCTGTAATATCATATGCTCATCTAGGCTAAATTCTGAAGTGTGCAGTGATTCTAGTTCTGGAAACATCTTGATTTACAATTCTGCCTTTATCTTGTTTGATTTCTGAGTAATATTATTCCTTATTATAAGGCAAAGATTTTGCTTTTCGGGTATGTATGTAGACAAACATCCCTTGATTTTATCACTACGTTGCTTGTGAGTTTAACTTGCTTACTGTGTTCCTTTCTTGGGTAGTAAAATTATTTCTTCCCCATTCTAGTTGTGAAAAGTCTTTTGTCCTTGGTTTTCATTTTCCACCCTTGGAAATACCACCACTCCTTTGCTCTGCTTAATTTGATTTACTATTAGTAATAAAACTATTCCAGTGTGTTACTATAGGTTAGTGTTTCATTTCCCATAGGCCTAAACAATGTTTCAAAGCATCATCCAAACCAGGCATGTTTTGTAGGTATTTTTGTACTTTAAATCTCACGATAAGGCAACTTCTAGTATATTTCACTCTTTTTATTCATTTTTGTATTTACATCTTGTAATTATTATGTATTGGTACCTGTTTGTGTTTTGCATTTAAAAGTGTCCAGGTCAGAGACT